AAGGTCCCACCGGAGGCAAGGGGGGCCAAGCGGGGCACTTGGTGAGTGTATCAGGGAGCTTGATTTCTGCAAATCGGGTGGCGGCTTGGTACCAGATAGCTAGGCGGTGTGTTTTGCGGAACCCATGACTGCTAAAGGTACCCGTTAGTGTGATGGCGCTTGTATTCGCTTCCACTGTGGGAGGTTAGATTCAAGTTCGATTTTCGTCCTCGGAAACTACTCCAAACATTGCGTGACGTGCGCCTTTAAAAGTAAGGTCTGTATTGATGACGTTGCTTGCGAAGCGTATAAACGAGTTCTCTCTCCATTGGGGCACTGACTTCTTATAAAAAAAAAATTCTGTATATGGTGCACTTATTTACTAACCCTCTGGCAGTACTCCACTGTAAAGGTTAGGAGAAAAAAAAACGTGCATTGACTAGTGTCGAAAGAAACAGAAAAAAAGTGTTTTAAACTACTTCCTCCTCAGTTCATAAGCAAAGGGAGAAATCACGTGGTCGTATTTCACTGGAACCCAAAGTTATCCCAGCAGTCTGAGAGTCAGCAAGGGCAAAGCCCTTAATAAATTGCATGCTTCACATTTTGGCAAGTGCCAACAACTATAAAGTATAAAACGCATGTAAGCAATTCAGCGAGCAACAAGAAAAGTGATAGCGCCCCTTTTTGCTATCGCTCGATCAGCTGCACGACGAGGCAAGCCTCATGAAAGCGACGGGAGCAAGCGACCGAGGCGATGAGCAAAGCTTTCTAGAAATCCAAAAACCGAGCAATGAGAGCTCTCTGTCACTCATTGCCCTCGCTCGCTAAATCGCATACATACAGTTCAGCTTGAATTGTATGAACGCGAGAGACACTTGCAACTCACTTCCAAATGCCTCTCATTTCAGGGCTACACTGCCATTTGCGTCAAAACAGAGGATTAAGGGGAGGCAAGCGACAAGGCAATGCAACCTCAAGGCAGAGCGGCTAGGCGAGTGACAGTCTCTCCCACAAATCCTCGTGCTTGGGGGATTTTGCAAAAGGGCTATTTATATCAAGTTCAAAATGAACAGCACTCTTCATTGATGGCTGGTTCACACGACGAACTGATCCACAGACGGATTGATCACGTCCGCGGTTCGTCCGTCTCCCAAGCGCATCCACACGAAGGAGCAGACGCGCAAATGACAGCCAGGACGAGCCGAACATGTTTGCGACCACACTGGGGCACTGTTGTCCAAGATGGAAATCGACATTTGCTGCTTTGAACAAGAACTGCGCGCCACTGTTACGTGCAGAGTGAGACATAACACCATGATAGGCTTAGTGCGAAGCGCCACTAGCCTTACTAAACTAAACCATGGCAGATACAGAAGCATGGTCCTGCTTGTGGAGACTTTGGCGAGGAGGCGGTGAAGTCCTGGGTCCGCTAAGTGGCATTTGGAGATGCCTTCACTCACTTTGCACTTGCGCCTTCAGTACACCACAGCCACAAAAAAAGGCTTGCTGGGTGAAATGTTGATTGGAGATTCAAAGTGATTGCGGCGTGGTAGACGAGTCTTTACAGAAGCTTTTCGACGCAGATGAGTACCAGATTCTGCGTCGTGTCAGTTGGGCAAAGTTCCTCATGCCAACCTTTTTGAGAAATGAAATGAAAGAATATTTTGTTACAATAGTTTAGGTCATTTTTCTTTAAAAATCTTACTTGCAACTTTCAGGAAAGCACAAGCATTACAAACCAGCTGCCCTCACAATCATGACCCCCGCCCCCCCCCCCCCCTTTCTCTTTCTGGTAGTTGCTGTCGGTGAGCAACCTGATAGCCTTGGGCTTTTCCGCTTTTCTAATAGAATTTAGCGGTTCTTGTACATGTGCAAAAGTGAAATGTATGCTACTGCCATGTTTGTCAGTTTTGTAACTCTTTATTCCCTCAGACCGCAAATTTGTCTTCAGCTTGGTTCACATGAGCAGCACATTCATGGCATCTTCTATCCAAAAATATATATTGTGGGTTGGATGTGTGTTGGGGGGGGGGGGGGGGGGGCATTACTTTGCTGGTTGAGTTGGTAGGCAGGAGATTGCGAGAAACAAAAGGGTAGATAAAATACAACCGTCACTTTTACTATGAAAACCTTTTAATACAGGACTGGCGAAAAAATGAGAACATGAAAAGGTATGACGTCCCGTCCTCCTCTTACTCTTTATTTTCTGTAACCTAGTCTGGTAATTTAGGATCATATACTACTACATAAGATTCAACGACGTGGAAGGTGTTGGTGCACCTTAACCCATTTTGGACGAGCCTCGCTCCTCCACCTAGGGCCGTTCCTAAACCGTTTAGGATGAGTGTAACTCATCCGCGCACTATACCTCGCCCCTTGGCTCTTTTTGGACATCCCAGGCTTGTTCCGAGCATAGTTTGCGGTGCTGCTCAGAGATGGCAGCATGTATTTTTTTTATTGTACACATTTTTAAGGGTGGCGACTGATTGTGGAGACATGTGCAGCTTGGGCCGTACGTGCAATAAATATAGAAAAAACAACTTAGGATCAAAAACTGAAGAAAAAAAGAAACGGTTAAGGTAAACAGTGTGTGACATTATTATGCAGTTTCCTCGTTCCTTCGACAATGTCTAATTGGATACGAGACACACTTTTATGACGTGCAGGCAACGTCAGCAGAAATGTTTGGCGTGAAACGACACGCCTAAAATACAATATAAGATAGCTATACTGCTAGGACCCATTGTATGTTCCTGTAACCCTGCTAGATTTGTTTTGAGAATGGCGCGATAATTTCATGGATAAATCCACTTATATGTGAATCCCTCGGAGGGGCGGATCCAAGCAGAACTGGAGGCTGGCTTTGTAGCCAGCCTCCAGCGCGATGTCTCCTTGCACGCACTCACAGATTTGGCTATCTTGGCGTCTCGAGCTTCACTTTACTCGTTTACCTTCCACGTTTCGGGCATGCGGTTTGTGATGATTACGTCTACGACATTGCTCGCCTTGTCAAAGTGTTCGACATTGATTGCAGCAGCGATGAGCATGATTGCTATCAAGAGATGTTGAAAGCTGTTCATTTTGACTGCGACCCGCTGGCGACAAACTCCAGTGACGGCGAGTTACAAACGAACTCGTTGTGGTCACTGTCGCCCGGGAATATCTCGCAGGTGCACGCAGGGTGGAATGTCAACGGGCCGGCGGCAAGAGCGAGAAAAGCATTTGGGTTACCGAGTTGCGCGAGCGTTTTTGATCGTACCGCGGCGAGGAGAGCTTGGGCGATCATGGGGGCCCCTAGAATGAGAGAGCGTTCATGGTCACATGCTTTATGGGCACCATGATGTGACTAACTTGGGCAGTGTTGCCTGGTCGCCAGATGAAAATGATACAAATTCGTAAATTGAATAGTGCAATTACCAGAGCTCTAAAATTGCGTAACTTGGTGTAAATACTAAGTAGACTATGAGCAATCCATTTCAAGAATAATGGATCCGTTTAATTTTCGTGTCATAACCCCATTAAGTCACTGCAGACTCCGCTGTCCACTTATGGCCAATTCACATGATGAACTTATCCGCACATAAATTGATCAAGTGACAAGGCGTCCACGGAATATCAGTCCCCCAAGCACATCCATACGGAGGAGACGAGCAGATGACAGCGAGGACAAACTGAACCTATTCCCGGCCCTGCATTTCCGCAAAATGCCAACATCGCACTGTGGCACAGTTTTCCAATGTCAGAAGTGATGTTTGCGACTACAATCACTGCTGTTATGAAAAAGTATTGTGTGCTGCTGTTACATACCGAGCGAGACAAAGCATCATGACAGGCTTAGCGTGAAGCGCTACTAGCTTTACTAACCACATGACACAAGTATCGTCCTGCTCCAGGAAGCTTCAGCGTCTAAGTGATGAAGTCCTGGTGTTGCGGAGGGGCATTTGGAAATGCCTTCACGCACTGCTTGCTTGTGCACCACTCTTCAGCACACTACAGCCGTTAAAAAGGTCTTGGCTGGGTTGAAAACTGGGTGGACATGCAGGGAAGCTTGCAACTTGCTAGGCAAGTTTTCACTGAAGCTTCTTAACACCAACCCGGAGGAGTATCAGAGCCTGCGGCTTGTCGGCTGGGCAAAGTTCTTGCAGCTTCTTTCACGAGTGGAAAATAAGAATGGTTCGACAAAATGAAACAGCGAATGGACAAAGTACAGTGCACTATCTTTGTTTGGCTCATTCGAAAATCAAAAAATATTGCTCTGCTGTTGGTGCTCTACCGTAAACGCTTTTACTGTTACTCACCCGCTAAAAATCTGGGTATGGAAGGGCACTTTGCCCTTAAGTCTGGGCGTCTGCTGACGAGGTGCAAATCGGAGGAATAGCCGACATGATGGTAACGTGACAAACGGTCCACGGATGAAACTTGCGATTCAATCCATCGCGTCAATCTGCCATTATTTGACAATTGTCCTAATATGATTAATTGATCCCTATTAAAAAAAGAACAATTGTTCTCTGAAACAATGTAATGAAAGGAAGTTTTTATAAACAATGCCTGCTCCTTTGACAATGGAATAGTATGAGCCTTGGTATAACAGGAACTTTCCGTAGATCAGACATACGTTTATTCCATGCTCAAAGTAAAGACATGAGTTTGTCTTGGTAATGCCTACCTCCTGCGTATGATCTGTAAAAAGTCCTTAATGACGTGGTCAAGGGAGAGGAGTTTCTGCTTTCAAGAACAGGATGGGGTGAAAGAAAAAGTGTCTCGATGAACAATGAATGCTCCAGCTAATCCACTCAGCCAAGTTTCTGCAACATGAACTATGCTCTAAGAGAAAGACGTAGGATAAGCACTTCGAAATCTTTAGGATTTGCCAAGGGATAAAATTAATTAGATGCACAAAAAAGTAGGGGGAGGAGGATGGCAAGAAAATTTTGGGGCTTGTGTTCTTACACTTGAATTGTTTGTGCAGGAACCATTACTGAAGCAGCACTTCATTCCTGAGGCAATAATTTATTGCTAGTCAAAGCCTGTTTCCAGAAAAGCCCATCAGGTGAGCGGCTTTTTTTTTTCTCTTAAACATGAGGTGCTTTTTAACGTTGCCCTCCAATCCCAAAATGTTGTCCATCCGTCCGTGCGCTTTGCCACTAAATTTAGTGGGGACATTTTTGTTGCGTGACCTCTGCACAAGTTCAGTTTCCTCTCTAAATTTAGCAGAAAACTGATGTCACAGGACCTACAGACAATTTCAAGCTCTCTGATAAATTTAGCGGATAAATGGATGTCACGTGAACTATGCAGCAATTCAGTTTTCCCTCTAAATTTAGCGGAAAAATTGATGTCATCTGACCTATGCACCAATTCAGTTCCCCAGCTAAATTTGGTGGGAAAATTGATTTCACATGATCTGACGTCATGTCACCTACAGACAAATTCAGGTTACCTGCTAGATTTAGCGGAAAAATTGATTTCACGGAACCTATACACCAATTCAGTTTCCCCACCAAATTTGGCAGAAAAATTTATATTGCGTGATCTGACGTCATGTGACCTAGAGACAAAGTAAGGTTCCCGCTAAATTTAGCAGAGCGATTTATGTTACGTGAACTTTGCACCAATTCAGCTTTCCCACTAAATTTGGCAGAAAAATTGATGTCGCGTGATCTGACGTCATGTGGCCTATACACATATTCAGTTTAAAATAAAATGAACAAAAACAAAACAAAACTATTTTTTAAATACTTTATTTCATGCGTTATAGCACTTTGAAGGTAAAAGTCACTTCCAATTTTAAATAATGTTTTTACTTTAAAGAAACAACTTTTCTCTAACTGTTTTGATTGAGCACCAGTGCCGTAAACTGCTAATAGCAGCCTTGAACAGTAAAGTTTGCACATCAGAAGTGTTGCTGATTCTTAACAGTATCTTTTGTCTCTTCCAACTCTTCAGTTTGAGGGGAATAAGTTATCGCTAGTCAATGCCTGATTCCACAGATGCATATCAGGTGAGCACCTCTTAATGAAACAACTTTGCTCTCTTTGTTCTAATTTAACACTAGTGTGGAAAATCTTGTTTTACTACGGTTCTTGAGTTGAAAACGGGTATAGTATTTCAGGTTAAAAAGTCAAATTTGTGGGTTTTACGTGCCAAACCAACGACGGGCATCTGGCACGCCCCAGCGGAGGACTGAAGATTAATCTGGACCACCTGGGGATCTTTCGACGTGCGACCGAAAGCTCGATTACACGGCGCCTTCTCCGCAATAAGCCTCCGTCAGATTGCGGGCTCCTCGGCCGGGATTCGAACCCGCCACATGGGGATCCGTAGGCCAGCGCTCTCGCCTCGGAGCCACCGAGGCGGCTATTTCAGGTTAATGAAGTACTTTATAGGCACCATGTTTAAAGAAAAACTAAAAAATCCTTGAATTACAAAAAAAAAATGTTAGAATGTGGACATCTTAAAAATGGTGTCTTAAGTTTTCTTTTGATCTTGTTAGCAGGAGTGTTATAATCATTCATTAAAATTTCAGCGTAGCCCTGCATGTTGCGGCACATCGTACAAAGCAGAGCGCTAGAACGGTGAAAAGAAAAACTAGCAAAAGTGACGTCATTGGCAGGGTCCGATAACCCTTGTTCACCAATCGGCTGACTTGGGGATGCCAACAATGACGTCACGACGCTTTGGACAGATTACAGGTGGAAGAGAGACTCACTGCAAGCCCTGCTGCAATCACTGCACATATTTTTGAAAAATAATTGCAGTTTACGTTGACTTTCGCCCAAGTTTAGTGCGATCGCTGAATTCATGGGACAAAATGCTATGGAAGTCCACCCTTAACTCAGATTTCTTAAAAAGTGCTTCAGCTTCTTTTTACTGCTACTTTGACTTAGTTGAACTAGCCGGTTCCAGTTTACATTAAGCCCAAGAAGCTAAGCTATTAATTTGAATGTGACATACAGTAAACTCTCATTAATTCAAATTCCAGGAAGCCACAAATTTTGCATGAATTGTCAAAAGCTCGAGTTATCAGTTCATCAAATATGTTGGAAGATAAATTATGATTTGCCACATGGATGGCTGCACACACAAAACAGATATCTGATGATTTCCTCTACATAGGCCTACTAATAATAAGCAGGTATGCCACTCATGAAACATTGGTAAAATTTATGACACAAGTTTATTCAGCCCTCAAAAATGTTGTTTATCGGGGACTGTTTAGACAGCGCATGACACCTCAAAACAAAATTTTGTTCAACCAGCAAAAATGTTGTCTCTTATACAGGGTGATGCAAGGAAAGGCCTGGCTCTTTAAATCGACCGTAAAATTCGGTTTCTTAACCTATCGCGCTACGACTTTGTGCAGCTTTGCCCACAGATGGTGCATTTGTTTTTTTGTAAATTTTGCAAAGAGCGAACTTACCTGTGGAAAAAGTGAAGAAAGAAAAAGGCTTAGCTCCTATGGAAACGCAGCGAAGCCACCGGTCTGCAAACAACACGGCGCCGTTTCGCACGGGAGACAAGAGATGGCGCAATGAACGCCGCCAACAAACGAGCATACGGCGCCGAGAGCGGGCGTCTTTTGCAGACAATCTTTTCGACTCAAAAGCGGTGCGCGTTCCGCAGGCGGCGACAGTCGCAGAAACAAAAACAGGCGCTGTAACAACAAGGAACTGCAGTTCCTTGTCTGCTAAAGACGCCGGCTCTCAGCGCCGTCTGCTGGTTGGTTGGCGGCAGTTGGCGTCGCGACAGCTTGCGCCATCTCTTGTTTCCCGTGCGAAACAGTACCATGTTGTTTGAAGACCGGTGGCTTCGCTGTGTTTTCATAGGAGCTAAGCCTTTTTCTTTATTTACATTTTTCTCGGGTAAGTTTGCTCTTTGCAAATTTTACAAAAAAAAAATGCACCATCTGTGGGCAACGCTGCACGAAGTCGCAGCGCGATAGGTTAAGAAACCGAATTTTGCAATCGATTCAAAGAGCCTGGCCTCTCCTTGAATCACCCTGTACTTGTGTGAATGCTGTGACCTAAAGCCACGCCTCCACATCACAGCGTCCACGCAAGTTGCTGTTGAAACTGCAGTGCAGCACCCCTTTTTGTCGCTCATGTCTCCTCTGCTTCAGAGACGTATATAGGGAGAGTTTAACCATTCGTTGGAACATTGGCCGAAGGTGGGCCGGGCATGTTCCAGAGCATTTTCAGAACTGCAAATATGGTCAACCAGAAGCTGCGCATAATACCCTGGTGGTGGTTGCGAAAAGCAAAATTAATAAGTGCGTCGTGGGAGATCTGGCTCAATTCAATGTGCTTAATATCACTGAATAGTTGTGCGATTTTAATTGGCTGGTTTTATTTCTCAAGCACTTGATATGTTCGGTATTCAAATCAATGCAAATTTTTACTTTGGTTCAATTTATGGGGGGTTTATTTTATGTCATGTTTAGTAGTAGCTAGGCTAGTTGGTAAGCACGTTGCTCACTTACTTTAACCGTGCATGTCATATACAATTTGTTGCGATTGTGTTTGAATGCAAATCCTCTTCTGCTCTTTATTTCAAGCTGCTCTTACATGCACCATGAAGATACCGAGGAGGTCTTCAATTGAATGACAACTTCAAGCACAAGCATGGAAGGGCATCTAAATGGCCAGCACAAGGACAACTCTAATGTAAATTTTCTCCAAAGTTAAAGCAAGGCATGCCTTCTTCCAATTAAGGTATTGTGGCGAAACTTCTTAATTGGTTCGTTTGTTGAGCTGTCATCTATAGGAACAGCTGAGCTCACACAAACAAAATCCTGGCATTGAGAAGTACAGGTTGTGTGCTTGTGTTGTTGTGTTGTGTTGTGTGTTGTGTTGTGTTGTGTGTTGTGTTGTGTGTTGTGTTGTGTTGTGTGCCTGAAGAAGAAACGAACGGTTTCGAAACGTAGGGTCGCTACTATTTCAATTTTTGGTTGGCGGATTATCTTATCTCTTTATTATTTACCCAACCAGAGAGAATTCTCTCAAACATGTTAACCTCTTTCTCTTTTGCAAAACATGAACTTTTTGGCTGAGGATGAAAGATTATTCAAGTTCATATATTAAATGACGGAGCTATGAACTCTCCATACCAATCTACCCCAAAAGCTTCATGTGACTTAGGCTTGCTTGAATATGGAAGCTTTTTGCACTAAATAATAAAGCACTTTACCTTTACGTCTTTTTGAACTGGACTCTCCGTAAAAACAAGGCATATAATTTTATAGAATGGCGAAATGTCTGTAGCCCACATTATGGACAGCTATCCATATAAAATGTGAAAGCTGTCCGCAGTAAATAACGAAGGACTATACCTTTCCGAATTACATAAGGCCAAAGCTACGAGTCATCCGCACCAGTCCTGCACCTCCGATACGTCAGGTGACACCCCTGGCAGATCTAGAGCTCTGCCAGGTGAGTCGCATGATGTATCGAAGGTGCAGGTGGTACGGATGGCACGAGGCTTTGGCCTTATAAGGCGGAAAAATATAGTCCTTCGGTATTTAGTGCAAATAGCTTTCACATTTCCGAAGGATAGCTGTCCGTAATGTGGGCTACAGACGTTCCGTCGTTCTACGAAATTATATGCCTTGTTTTTACGGACGGTCCAGTTTATAGATTACGGCAAATCATACCGGCAATATTGAACCAGCAACTTTTATCCGTAAAATGGAAAACGGATAACTGTCTGTAAAGTGAGCTACGGACGTTTCGTCATTTTAGAAAATTATATGCCTTGTTTTTACAGACAGTCCCGTTTCTAGATTACGGCAAACCATACCGGCAATATTGAACCAGCACCTTTTGCCCGTAAAATGGGGTGAAAATTTTTTACAGTGTAGTTGATGTATCCGGGCCGAAAACCACGGTTGTCTTTTCTCAGGAACTCTGTACTTCTAGCAACACAACCGCTAGTTGACGGAGAAAAATCTTCTTCGACCAAACTATATGTTGGATAGCATATGCAAATGGTATGCGGGACGCCGAAAAACAAAGTCCTCATGCATTCGTCTCCTACCGCTGTTCCCCGTATGCCTCGTTGTTCTGTTCGCGACCGTTCAAACAAAAGCATTTCTCGCATGAAAGTAATAGACTTGGTCTGAACACAATACTTTAACTATTCGGGATGGCAAGATTATGATAAACAAAAGCAGTTTCAAAATATTTGCGTCGCGCTTTTGAGACTTTATACGCATTACCTTATACCTTTATTCTTATTTGAAGGCTCTGTTCGGTGCTCTATTCTTGTTGCTGAACGGCGCCCACTTTCAATATAATTCGGGCCTCTTTCTGCACTCTTCGGATACTCCGAATGTGCAGCACCGGCCGAGATATATCCTGAGGCTCGCGCGAAATATTTTGTCCCTCCAATACCCTATTTCTTTGTATTTTTTTTTCGAAGGTTTTGCTCTCTGCTTGCATATTTGCCCTCGTGATTTTGCCGTTTTTTTTTTTTTTTTCTCATGCGCCTAGATAAGTCCAAAGAAGCGAGAAGTGGCGCGGGTGTCTGGCCCTCAAATTTGTCTCTTTTGTTTCGCATGTTTAATACGACCATTATGTTTATTCAGCGAGAAAGAAACTTGGGTGTATCCGAAAGCATATCAATTTTTGTTTATATTAGAGATATCCTTGTGCGCATAAATTTTCTATATAGCGCTAGAGTGGAATAAAGAAGGCGCTCTTTCGCTGACTTGCGAGTTAGAAGCAAGACTCGCTTTGTTTGGTGTTTACATCCGTCTAGTTGGAGTTTCTTCATCGTAGAAGAATGGCGAAGCTTATTTTCTAGATTACGCCTGTGTCAAAAGCGTCATATGTGTGCACTTTGATAACTCGGCAATTGTGTGAGTGGTTTGATAACTCGGAAAATAAATGAAGATGTCAGACGTTTAGCGAGGAGTTCTTAAAGAGACATACTTATTAGAATTTAAGCAATAAGTTTTTTTTGATCACTATAAGAAAGGCAAAGTTCATGATAAGACTCTTTTTAATCTGTAAAGCCGGGGTCACACTGCTCATATGATACAAAAGGTAGTCTGCAAACACAAGTCACTGCAATATCCGTGGTTCGAATGCCGATTGCCCTGTTCCTTCTTGAACCCAATGGCATGCATCATTCGAAGCACGAATCTTACGGTGACTCGCGTTCGAATCTGTATGCCGACTGTCTTTTGTGTAATGTATAAGCAGTGTGACTCCGGAATCAAGGTGCCCTGAGGAGGTTTCTGAGATCACCTAAATAGGGCGATGACTCACCCTGCTGGCTCTAAGCATCCTAGAAATTCCTAAATCATGATGACACGTGGCCGATTTTCCTATCAAGAAAGCAATCAAAGATTGCAACACACCGAGGTCACCTACGGCGGTGGGAGGAGCATGTTTCGAAACCAGGACCACTGTCAGCCAATAGCGAGCGAAGGATCCTCACGCCTCCGACCGGTGGAACCGTGAAGTGATATCTCCAATGCGCGCTGCCCGTTGCCTATACAGCCCGGAATAATAATGCGTGGTTTTTGAGGCGATTATTGGAGTATTATGCTCTCTCTTCAAGAAGAATTAACATTTTCTGAGTACTCTTATTTGCTTTTTATCTACAAAAGCATACACATTTTCTAATAACAGCTCATGCAACCTCAAATAAATGTCGCGTTTTCATTTATCACATGTCGTCCTGGCTGCCGGAACAGTGCTCATTTCATCGCGGTAGATGACCTCGGTATGTGGCGATCTTTAATTTCTTTTTTAATAGAAAAATAGGCCGCGTATCGTCATGATTACAGATTTTCTAGGATGCTTAGAGCCAGCAGAGTGAGTAATCGTCATATTTGAGGTGATCTTAGAAACCTCCTTATGACACCTTTAAGGCGGAATTCACACTGGCGTACGAAACACATTATTTTGGGTCAAATAAAGATCCTAGAGGTTCTCCTCCGATAAGCGGACTAGGGCCAGCTGATCAGCGTGAACCGCCGAGGCCAGCCACACCTGCCAGTGGGCGAGATGCTCAGTGCTGCCTTGCCATTTTTTCTATGGCCCAGTTAGGGAGCGGCTTTCCCTGCGACCTACAGTCTCGCTTAGGAGCAATGGGACTTCTTTGGTCGCGTGGGGGTGCGACCACACTACCTTGCTCAACAGCGCCTGAGCCATCCTGAACAACTCTTCCCCGACAACTGCGATGGAAAATGTGTGTCATTATACTTATTTGAAAGAATCTCTAGTGAGCCGATTGAAATAAGTTTCGGATTACGAAAGTTAAATGCTTATTTATAGATACTCGTTTCTTGAAGAGACGAAAAAAAAGAGGTGTTCCGCATCAGTCCCTGCAGGCAGGTGGCCTCATGACCTGTTGGTCTAATTACTCTAGAAACTTTTCCAACTCAACCCCGAAGCTAAGAGGCCAACACGGTGCGGAGGAGTTGCCTCTCAGAAGGAATTAAAGCGCTGTAGGAAGGGTAGGCTCAGAGCAACCCCTTCGAGCTGCCGATGCAGGTAGCAGCTACTCCGCCTGTAAAGGCCCTAAGAGACCGTGCCTGTTAACATTGGTTCACTCCAGCCCGGCAATGGTTCTTCCAACCGTTGAACGAGGCTTCTTCATTAGCACACTTGACTTCAAACCTAAACACGTCAGGAGAACAACGCGAAGAGAAAACTTGCGCCGCAGAACCAAGAAATCATTGACTCGAACCACACCGCCGCCTGTTTCTATCTAGATAAGCGACCGTACAGTCGTGCTAAATTTATCACGCACCTCGGTGACACCAGACGCGTTATAGGACGCTTGTCGTTCACCTTTCATCTGTGTTATTCTAATATATTTTCCAGTTGCCTTCCTCATCTCAGGGTTTAACATCTTGATTAATACGCACCAGTCACGATGTGTGTGTAAACGCTTTGTGGGTGCTAGTTGTGTGCTAGTTTGATGTTTGCATTCGTTTGCATCTTGTGTCCATTTTACTTTAACTTTGTACCTAGACAGACATGTACAGTGCCAATCACACTTGTCTATAACGCGCGAGCGTGCGGCTTTCTCCGGGGAGCGCTAGACTGGTGGCATTCGCGGAAACTAAGCTAGTCACGTGGTGCAACATGGAACGGCCCGCTCGAGGGGTGTCGTCCTGCCCATTCTATCAGCTGGCGGCGAACGCGGAAGGCTGCTCGCACGCTTTTTAAAAACAGCATTCATTGCTCGAACAATAAACACACTAAAGCTTGAAGGCGTACCAACGATTTCGTCATCAAAAAAAAAAAATATCATAAAGCACTTTATTTTTATCGCTTATCAAGCTGATAGAGTGGGCAGGACACCCCTCGAGCGGGCCGTTCCATGTTGCGCCACGTGACTAGCTTAGTTCCGCGAATGCCACCAGTCTAGCGCTCCCCGGAGAAAGCCGCTCGCTCGCGCGTTATAGACAAGTGTGATTAGCACTGTACGTTGTTTTTCCTTTATTAAGATGCCATCCCACAACCCTTAATTGGCTTGTGGGATGCGTAAATGAATATTATGAATAGGTAAATAAATATTTTATTATGAATATTAATACGTGTAAAAAATCTATTTTGAGAGTGTCACAGAAGGCTTTAGT